GGGCCCCCCAGGTACTCCCCTGGGCCTCATGGCTAACATCAATATGAGGGACAGTCCCACCCATAGAATGGTTGAGGCAGCCACTGCGGGGTCCCCCAAAGCAGGGAGGCCAGGGTGACCACCCCAACCATCCTGTGGATGGGATAGCAATGGCTGTCAGCAGGGCACCATGTGTCCTCCTGACTCCCTGCTGGCCAGGGCCAGCCAGGGCCTGGTAGGCCAGTCTTCAGCAGCATGCCTGCACTTGCCATCACCACATGAGGCGCCTTGGGAGAGTCTCTCCCTAGCATGGATGAACATGGGATTTTTGGCAGCCTTCCTGAGCACCCCAACCAGATCTCTGTCGCTCACACCTTCACAGGCCACCTGGAACCCCAAATGTGCTGGGCTCTCGCGCTGCCCCATGTCGCTCTTGACTGTCATTTGCCCTTGCAGTACCCCCACTTCCTGAAGCGAGATGCCAACAAGCTGCAGATCATGCTGCAGAGAAGGAAGAGGTACAAAAACCGAACCATCCTGGGCTACAAGACTCTGGCTGTTGGGCTCATCAACATGGCTGAGGTAAGGAGGGAGGTGCCAGCCTCCTGGTCGTATGGCCATGGGGAAGAAGTGGGTAAATGTAACCTCTCCCCACTTCAGCTCAGCCCAAGACAGGGCACTGTGTGCCTAGGCTGGGACCTAGCCAGAGGCACCTGGACAATCCTGTGTCAGCTTGGGTCCTCAGGTTAGAGTCCTTCCTTGGTCCATGTGGGACCCAGGCTTCAGTGCTATTGACTGGCTTGGTGTTCTCAGCAACCTCCCGTGGGGCACGGTGGGAGCATACGCCGTGTGGTGTCTCCCCTGCACAGGTCATGCAGCACCCCAGCGAAGGGGCTCTGGTGCTTGGACTCCACAATAACGTGAAGGATGTCTCTGTGCCCGTTGCTGAGATTAAAATCTACTCCCTGTCCAGCCAGCCAATTGACCACGAAGGGCTCAAGTCGAAACTGTCTGGTAAGGAGGGGACTAGGTCGGGTGGGGACTGGGGTGTGGGGTCTCCAGAGGGGGGAACCTCATTGGCTGCCCTGGAGTCCACATCACTAGGCAGGTGCATAGCTCAATAATACTGTAGCGATTGTGAAGATGGAGCAGAGCTGGAGGGCTCAGGTGCTTCTGTCAGAAGCAAAAACCTTCCAAAGTGCATCTGTCCCCTTCCATCCCCGCTGTGGGTGGGGTGGGAGGCTCCCTGGTTGGGGACAATGCGCTGGAGGCAGTGCCTCCTTCAGCTGAAACAAAACCAGCACCCTCATCACCATGGTTTTCACAGTTCCTGCATCATTGGCCATTTGCTAGAATCAGGATGTTGCAGCTGGTGTCCTGCCATATTCCACTGGGGGGCAATTATGTGTCACCTCCCTAAATTCCCTCCCTCCTTTGTCTTTTCCCTATCACCGAGAATTTTTTCCTTCCTATGCTGAGCCATTTAGAGTGTGGCTGTGTGCTGACACACGGTTGCCACGTTCCTCCCCAGAGGGAGCTGCATTCCCACACTGTGGCAAAGCCATTTTTCTCCAGAGACTTGGCTTGACTAGTTTCAGAAGCAGAACAGATTTTTCTTTGTCCCTGAAACCTACCAGCTGTAAAAGCCACATGCCTGCTGGTTCCACTCGGCATTGTACAGCTCTGCTTGTGTCTTGTATGCATGGCTGGAGGCAGTGCCTGAGAGAGCACACGGAGCCTCGTCAGCTACGTTCTATCCCAGCACCGCTGCATGTGCTCCTGGTGCTTCTGTGCAGGAGCCCAAGTGAGAACAGAAGCCAGCTGGGTGTCAGCCCCCTCTTGGTTGTTGCCTGTAGGGTGATTTGATCTTGGTTTTAATGCATTAATCTGCAGGAATGGAGGCAAAATTTTGTTCTGGGCCCAGTTTCATCACATCCATTCTCATCAGCTCTTGTTTGGACAGTGGAAGCTTATTCCTTCCAACACGGCTATATTTAGCTCCACGTCTTGGAATCCTTCCGTTTATGATACGGTCGCGGATGGCTGCCGAGGCAGTAAATCTTGTTGCCAGGGAAACCGATGGAGATGCAGGCTTTGTGTTGGATTTATTTTCATATTTGAGTTTATTACCAGTAACTGCGTGACCTGACAAGGAAAGGCAGCAGGGTGCTGACAGGAGACACCGGTTGATCTGGAAATATGCACCTTTTCCATTCTGGCATGTTGAGGCAAATAGAAATCAGTCCAGGTCTCTCATAGACAGAGCCTATGTTCCTCTGTAGTGGCAAAATATAGTCCTTGCCGTACAATTGTACTTTTTTATCTAGCTTTCATGAAAAACAAATCTATGCAGCTTTTAGGGTTGCTAAGTAAACCCTATGTTTGAGGGATGTAGTAGTGTCTGTCTGAGTCTGCAGGGAGACTGAAACAAGCATCATCAAATGGAACTTTATTCATCTCAACATTATGTTAACGCTGAAGCATACTGATGGTTATTTCATGTCAATATGATTAACTGTTTAGCTAAGGAGCATATAGTGGAAATGCCCCCTAGTGTGTATGAGATGTGTGGGCTATGCCCACTGGCCCTCTCTTCTAGGAAGCCTGGGGGGTGTCCATACTTGCAAAGTGCTTCAGAGCTTCCAACGAAAGGCACTAAAGAGGAGTCCAGGCATGTCGTAAAGGGAGAGGTGGTTCTACTATGCTAAATTCCATGAGGAAACAGGAATGTAAATATTTTGAACCATGAAATCCTCTCTCTTCAACTCCAGCACCAGCTGATCTTTGTCTCTGAGTGGGAATTTAAGCAATGATTTTATTTTAATGCACTGGCCAAGGATAACTCCCAACCCCACAAAGATTCTAACCAGATACAAACAATTGTCTGCCAAATGACAGGAAATACCAGATGGTCCCAAAGGGAGAGCAGGGAGTGGTTTGCAGCCCAGTTCCCAGGTTCGTCCATCCGTTCACGGCCAGCTCATTGCAGATGTTGGGCCTGCTCCATGTTCCACACTCCTCCATGCCCTGCATAGGGCGACGGTTCTCCAGTCATTGGATGCAGGCAGTGCTGTGTTCTGCAGGCCCAGGAGCTGCTATGGGGAGGCTGACTTTGGACATAGCTGAAGAAGAGGGGCAGAGGATAATTGATGGGGCCTGTGCTAGTTTATTTGCTCCCTTGGGGCATTTGAAAGGATTATTCCGCTGTTTATGTTAGATATGTCAGGGATGGCTCTTCCCTGGGGCATAGAGACCCCTGAGAACTGCCTGGGAGCTTTTTCAGCACTTAAATAAAGGGGGGGGGGCACGTCAACAGATTTGATTTACTACCAGCTGTTCATCCAGCTGAAGACTGGCCTTGCGGCCCAGCACTTGCCTAGAACTGAGAAGACGTGGCAAGTCCCTTAGGGTAACTGTGCCTAAGGCTCATATTCGCATGTGACTCATGAGCTTGACTCTCACTGAAAGTTGCTGGGATTGAGGTGCCCGAGTTACTGTGAAAAGAAGGCCTTGTATTCTGAAATAAAGGGTTTGGGTACAGGCCTTATAGTAAGTCTCCAGGAGCTCAAGCTATTTAGCTTAACACAGGGAAGGTTCAGGGGTGACTTGGTCTGTAAGTACCTATGCAGGGAACAGAAATGTGCTAATTAGCCCGTCAGTCTCACAGACAATGGTCTCACGAGACCCAGTGGCTGCAAGATGAAACTAGATGAATTCAGCCTAGAACTAAGGCATAAACTATTCCTAGGGAGGGTAATTAAATCTCAGAACAATCAGCCTCAGGCTGTGGTGGATTCTCCATCTCTGGTAATTGTTAAACTGAGGTTGCCTGTTTTTCTAAGAGCCTCTTCCCTAATCCAGCCAGTGGTTAATGCAGGGAGGCCCTGGGGCCTGTGCTGTGCAGAAGCTCAGACTGAATGACCACAATGGTTCTTTCTGCCACTCAGATGTGGCCCTACACCCCCGGTTGGGTCACTGCTGCGGCTGGCTTTCCTTCGGCCTCTTGCCTGTGGACTGTAAGCTTCCCCGGCTGCCTGGGCCAGTAGAGCAGGGCATGGAGGCACACTGCAGTGCTACCCAGCTTCCAAAAAAGTCTGCACAAAAGCAGGCCTGTTGTGGTGGGTCCTTCTGTTCTCCAGTCACCCAGCACAGTCAGGTCTGAATTTCTAAAAGAAACCCAGGCCATTACAGCCTCTCTCGCCTATATTGTGCCTGACTAAAAAGGGGACAAGCTTCTTTTTTGGCTCCCACCATTAAAGCCGAGTCCTGACTGCTCTGTGGCTACATATGACTCATGAGCTTGACTCTTGGAAATAGTGACCATAATGTAATAAAATTTAACATCCCTGTGATGGGGAAAACACCTCAGCAGCCCAGCACTGTGTCATTTAATTTCAGAAAGGGGAACTACACAAAAATGAGGAAATTAGTTAAACAGAAATTAAAAGGTACAGTGACAAAAGTAAAACCTCTGCATGGAAACTTTTCGAAGACAACATATTAAATGTATACCCCATCTTAAATGTATACCCCAAAAAAACGTAAACTCAGTAAGAGAATCAAAAAAGTGCCACCATGGTTTAACAATCAGGTAAAAGAAGCCGTGACAGATAAAAAGTTATCTTTTAAAAAGTGGAAGTCAAATCCTAGTGAGGAAAATAGAAAGGACCATAAACTTTGTCAAATTAAGTGTAAAAATATAATAAGAAAAGCCAAAAAGGAGTTTGAAGAACAGCTAGCCAAAAATTCAAAAAGTAATAGAAAAATGTTTAAGTACAACGATCGAGATGCTAAAGGAGCACTCAAAGATAATAAAGTCATTTCCATCTTCAATTTTTTGCATTTTTTAATGTCCTTTCTTTTCTGCTTGTCATGCCATATCTATCGCCAGGAATGGATCCTGCCTTATAGGAGGTTTGGGAACAAATTGATAAACTAAGCAGTTAAAAATAGTCACTGGGATGAGATGGCATTCACCCAAGAATTCTAAAAGAACTGAAATGGGAAATTGCAGAACTATTTACTGTGGTTTGTAACCTATCCTTTAAATCAGCTTCCATACTTAATGACTGAAAGATAGCTAACGTGACGCCAATATTTAAAAAGGGCTCTAGAGGTGATCCTGGCAATTACAGACTGGTACATCTGACATCAGTACCAGGCAAATTAGTTGCACCTATAGTAAAAAATAAAATTGTCAGACACATGGATGACACATAGGGAAAGTCAACATGGTTTCTGTAAAGGGAAATCATGCCTTACTAATCTGCTAGAGTTCTTTGAGGGGGGTCAACAAACATGTGGACAAGGGGGATCCAGTGGATATAATATACTTAGATTTCCAGAAAGCCTTTGACAAGGTCCCTCACCAAAGGCTCTTAAGTAAAGTAAGTTGTCATGGGATAAGAGGGAAGGTCCTTTCATGGATTGGTAACTGGTTAAAAGACAGGAAACAAAGGGTAGGAATAAATGGTAAGTTTTCCGAGCGGAGAGCGGTAACTTGGGGTCCCCCAAGGGTCTGTCCTGGGACCCATCCTATTCAACTTATTTATAAATAATCTAGTGAAAAGGATAAACAGTGAGGTGGCAAAATTTGCAGATGATACCAAACTGCTCAGGATAGTTAAGACCAAAGCAGACTCTGAAGAGCTTCAAGAAGATCTCACCAAACTAAGTGATTGGGCAACAAAATGGCAAATGAAATTTAATGTTGATAAATATAAAGTAATGCACATTGGAAAAAAGAATCCCAACTATATATACAATATGATGGAAACTAATTTGGCTACAACTACTCAAGAGAGATCTTGGAGTCATTGTGGATAGTTCTCTGAAAACATCCACTCAGTGTGCAGCGGCAGTCAAAAAAGCAAATAGAATGTTAGGAATCATTAAAAAGGAGGTGAGTGAGGTTCTGGAACGGCCTTCCAAGGGAAGCAATGGGGGCAAAAGATCTATCTGGCTTCAAGATTAAACTAGATGGGTTTATGAAGGGGATGGTTTGATGAGATAACATGATCTTGGTAACTAATTGACCATTCATTATCAGTGGGAAATAGGTCAATGGAGGGATGATAGGAGTTACTATAGAGAACTTTCTGGGTGTCTGGCTGATGAGTCTTGCCCACATGCTCAGGGTTTAGCTGATCGCCATATTTGGGGTCGGGAAGGAATTTTCCTCCAGGGTAGATTGGCAGAAGCCCTGGAGGTTTTTCGCCTTCCTCTGTAGCATGGGGTACAGATCACAGCTAGAGGATTCTCTGCATCTTGGGGTCTTCAAAGTATTTGAAGGCTTCAATATCTGAGATATAGGTGAGAGGATTATTCTAGGAGGGGTGGGTGAGATTTCGTGGCCTGTACTGCGCAGGGGGTCAGACTAGATGATCATAATAGTCCCTTCTGACCTTAAAGTCTATGAGTCTATAAAATGGTCCCTTCTGACCTTAGAGTCTATGAGTCTAAAAAAGGGATAGAGAATAAGACAGAAAATATCTTATTGTCTCTATATAAAACCATGGGACGCCCACATCTTGAATACTGCGTACAGATGTGGTTGCCTCATCTCAAAAAAAGATATATTGACATTGGAAAAGGATCAGAAAAGTGCAACAAAAATTATTAGGAGTTTGAAACAGGTCACATATGAAGAGAGATTAAAAAGACTTGGACTTTTCAGCTTAGAAAAGAGGAGACTAAGGGGGAATATAATAGAGGTCTATAAAATCATGACTGATATGGAAAAAGTGAATAAGGAAAGGTTATTTACTTATTCCCACAATATAAGAACTAGGGGTCATCAAATGAAATTAATAGGCAGCAGGTTTAAATCAAACAAAAGGAAGTTTTTCTTCACTAAGTGCACTGTCAACCTGTGGAACTCCTTGCCAGAGCATGCGGTGAAGGCTAGAACTGTAACAGAGTTCAAAAAAGAGCTGGACAGATTCACTGAGGTTAGGTCCATCAATGGCTATTAGCCAGGATGGGTAGGAATGGTGCCCCTAGCCTCTGTTTCTCTGAAGGTGGGTGACGGGAGGGATCACGTGAGGATTACCTGTTAGGTTCCCTCCCTCTGTGGCATCTGTCACAGACAGGATCCTGGGCTAGGTGGACCTTTGGTCTGACCCAGTATGGCCGCTCTTATGTTCATATGGCCGTGTGGTCCTACTACAAGAGAAGGGGTGTGCTTGTCTGATGATGGGGAGGCCCAGTGCCACTGCCTACTATCCCGCTTGTAACATAGCCAGGCTATCCAGAGAGCAGGGCCTGGGCTGGCCGGCACTGCACTGGAGAGCCAGTCTGCACTGCACAGTACCCTCTAGCCTACCAGGCTGTGACTGGCGGGTGCACTTGGACCGTACACAAATCCCGCTCCCAAGCTGGGCTTCTTGCCTAACCCCAGCTGTGTCTTCCAGATCGGTCCCCTGACATTGACAACTACTCGGAAGAGGAGGAGGAGAGCTTCTCCTCAGAGCAGGAGGGCAGTGACGATCCCCTGCATGGACAGGTAAACCCCCCACCACCCGCTTCTCAGCCTGCTGCCCCCTCAAAGCACTCAGGCCAGAGCTGCATTGCAGGCATTACCAGGCAATAGGCTGGCTGAGCCAGGCTGCCTCCATTTTCAAGCCCCTCTTTCCATGGGCTCAGGCTTTCCTCCAGTCCTGATCTCCCCTCTGGGGAGGGGGGTGCCTTGACCTCTCCGTTGCCCTGTGAACTGCAGGGGCAAAGGGAGTGCTAGGGAGGGGGTGCCTTGACCTCTCCCTTTCCCTGTGAACTGCAGGGGCAAAGGGAGTGAGAGGTGCAGGGCAAGCTGGCTCTGTGAGCATCCCCCTTTGGGAAGGGAGGGAAGAGCCAGATGCCCTGCAGAGCAGCCTCCCTTTGGGATCTAGCTGAGGAATGTGGCCACTGGGCCACTGATCCCTTGTCTGGCTTTGGGAGCCTGCCCCGAGTGGTCACCTACGACTGGGCTGCTGCCAGAAGCACCCTGCATGGCACTGTACTAGCCTGGGGCTGGGCTGCTGTGCTCCAAGGACTAGGGAGATCCCGGTTAAGATGAGTCCTAGCTATAGGCAGCTTCCTGGCAGTGTGGTGAGGTGCCCATGTCCCCAGGGAGCAGTGGTGCCGTTTCTCTGAACGTGCTGTCTCTCCCCGCCACACAAGGATTTGTTTTACGAAGACGAAGATCTCCGGAAGGTGAAGAAAACAAGGAGGAAACTAACGTCAGCCTCGGCGATCACTCGGGTGAGTGTATTCTGAGGGTGTGCTGGCTGGCTGCCTTGTGGCTCTAGTCTGGGTTGGATGTGAGGCCTGCCACATGCCAGTGGGGACAGAAGGGTTTCTGAACAGGGCTGGAGGGCTGTAGGATTTGGGATGGAGTGGGAGGGGGGGGATGACAGAATCCCCAGGTCCCTGGGCAGGCGGGGGTGGGCCTGGAAGGGGCAAGGCCTTGGGGGAGAGGGCAGGGCTGGGGCAGCCAGCCCTCAGCATTCCCTGGAGTGTGCTGCACGGCGTTCCAGTGTTGATTTAAAGGGGGGAGCCCCAAGCCCTTTTGAATCACCAGGTCCTGGGGCAGTTGCCCTCTTTCCCCCCTCTGCCCCCTGTCATTGGGCCTGGATGGAGCAGAAGGAGCCGATCCCCTCTAAAAGTGACCTCTGCTCAGCAGATTCGGACACTGCTGGTAGGGAAGAGATTGCTACACAGCTTCTATCTCCAAAGCTGTCTGGCTGTCCCCTTTCCACCGCACTCACTCATCCAGGCTTGGCCCTTTGACCTAAGCTGTGGCTGGAAAGCTTTGCCCAGTCTCCCAGGAAGTAGCCCGCACTAATGCTGCCTCTCACCTTGCCCTGCTAGCCTGCCTGTGATGAACAGCGTGTGGAGGTGCTGCGTGGCTTCAGCCTCACCATCTCCAGCAGCGAGCGTGGCTGTTTTGCAAGATAAGCAGGCTTGCTCTGGGCTAGTGTTTGGAGGGGAGACTTGGCGCACGAGCCAGAGGTGTGGGTGATTCAGGAGGAGGAGCACTCTCCTCTGGTTTGGTGCTAACCAGTGCCTGGGGCTCAGGGACTCTGTGCTTGCAGCCCTGCAGCAGGATTGGAAACTCTAGTGGACTTTGAACAGTCACTGGCACGATCTCTGGGGCAATATGAGAGTCTCCCTCCATTGGCCCCTCAGTCCCACACACAGCGAAGGCCGGTGCCCTGCCCCTGATTCCTGTTCACTTCCTTGTAACGAGTCAATGGTACCGTTTCTTCACAGCAGCCAAATATAAAGCAGAAGTTTGTGGCGTTACTGAAGAGGTTCAAGGTGTCGGACGAGGTAGGTCCTGCCCTTTGTTGTCTTGTTGCAAAGGTCTTTGCTCGTTCAATGGTCTCTTGGTAGCTGGTGTGCTAGAGGGGCTGTGATCCAGAGCAGGTGAGAGGCCATCCCTCATCACTGTTCCTCCCTCCTCCAGTGACTGGCTGTGCGTGGCCAGACCTCAGGTCTTTCAGCGGGCTCAGCTCATTTCAGTTGTTGGAGGGGAGGGGAGTAGGATCTAGTGGTTAGAGCAGCGTTTTCAGTTGTGGGAGGGGAGTAGGATCTAGTGGTTAGAGCAGCGATGGGCTGGGAGCCAGGACTTCTGGGTTTTGTCCTAGCTCTGTCACTGAGTCGTTGATGGACTTTGACAAATCATGTCACTCTGTGCCAGGTTCTCAATCCCCTGCTTTAATCAGAGGAATGCCTCCCTCTTGGCGCTGGGAATAAAACCCACCTCTCCCTCCCCCATTGCCCTTCTAGAGCAGGGAATGGGACTCACCAATCCAACCTCTGTTGCCAGTTCCCTCCGGCTCCAGCCACTGGACCCCATTTGTCTGAGAGTTGGGGATAGAACCCAGGAGTTCTGAATTCCAGCCCCCTGTTCTGACCTCTAGACCCTACTCCCCTGCACCTCTTCTAGCGACCAGAAGATGAGGAGGCAAATGAGACTAGGCAGGGGCTCCTCCTGCTTCATGGGCGAAAGCAGCCACATGTGGCTGGAAGTTACACATGCCTGTAAGAGGTGGTGTAATCCCTCCTCTGCCTCCGGGGGGTTTCTTGTAACTTTCTCTGACCCTCTGGTGACAGCCGCTCTCTGAGGTGGGAGCTAGCCCTGGCCAGGCCATGGCTCTGGGGGTGACTCTCCATGGTCTCTGGGAGATGTCAGACTGATAGCTGACTGGCAGTGTGTGTTAGACCTTTGAGGTACCATTGGCTGGGGAAGGAGAGCAGCATGAGGGGACCGTGAGGCCTCTTCCAGTGCTCATTCCTGTGGGCTTCCACAAAAACCATGGTCTCTGCTCTGAATTGCCTCGCCCCTGGTCTAGTCTGGAGTCTCCTGCCCACAGGTTGGCTTTGGTCTGGAGCATGTCTCCAGGGAGCAGATCCGAGAGGTGGAGGAGGACCTGGACGAGCTGTACGACAGCCTAGAGATGTACAACCCCAGCGACAGTGGCCCGGAGATGGAGGAGACAGAGAGCATCCTCAGCACGCCCAAGCCCAAGCTCAAGTGAGTGCTGGGAGTGGGGCAGGATGGTGAGCGACGGCTGCAACCAGGAGCAAGCATGGGCTGGTGGGACCCATGGGACTTGGCAGCCATTTCCAGGTCTGCCACTGCCTTGCTGGTGAACTCGGGCAAGTCACTTCCCTTCTCAGTGCCTCAGTTTCCCCTCCCAGCTTCTCTTTGTCTTGTCTATTTAGACAGAGAGCTCCTCAGGGCCATGGCTACTCTCTTGCCACGTGTTTTGTGCAGCACCTGGCACAGTGAGGCCCTGATGTTGGCTGGAGCATCCAAGCACTCCTGCAATGGTGTGAGCTGGAGGACTAGGAGTCAGGCTCTGGAGTCTCTCCCCATAGGACACTGACACAGCAAGTATCTGCAGTGCTCTGTGACTGTCTGTGCAACTCTTTTATTTACCCAGGAAACAACCCAGGAAACTACAGACCAGTTAGTTTAACTTCTGTGCCAGGGAAGATAATGGAGCAAGTAATTAAGGAAATCATCTGTAAACACTTGGAAAGTGGCAAGGTGATAGGGAACAGCCAGTATGGATTTGTAAAGAAC